GGGGGGGTTGTAAAAGACTCTGAGCCCGATTAGGAAAGAGCCACGTGCATGTTCACAAAGATAAAGTGACGACACGACTGTCTGCACTTTGTAGGCTAGTGGGCTCTTCTATTTGATAATAAAAGCATAATAAGTCAGAATCATAGTTGGAATGTTTCCGATAAAGTAAGCTACCGCCTTTCTTCATTTAAAACAATTACCGTATTTAATGAGTTTCTGTTTATATTAATGATTTTGTTTTCATGACCGAGCCTTGTAAAAGACACCACTTCACGGATTAACGACCAACACATAAACACAGTCTTTTCCAGAATCGTTAAATTTCATTTTGTAAACCTTTGGATTTGGACAAATTATGTCAAATAGTAGGTCTATCGTGTCACTCTGCAGGAGCTCACATTTTGAGAAGAACCGTTCATCATAATATTATATATCGTGCACTGCTGCATTCTGCAACTGTTATTCTCGGCCATATCTGCCACAAGCGCGTTATCATCACAGGGCACAATTTAGACCAATACAACTCAAACATATTACAGAATTCTCTGTTGTGACCTTGGAGTAACTATAATTACTCCAAGGTTGTGACGTATGAATAAGGCACAGATGAGTGTTTTTTCTAGTCCTGAACTGGTTTGTCTGTAATAAATTTATGTCTCGTATTGATGGCGTTTATGACTAGAAATCTAAATGTGTCAGGAGAGAGAGAGAGAGAGAGAGAGAGAGAGAGAGAGAGAGAGAGAGAGAGAGAGAAATATTTTCAATATGCCTAAGAAAGTTTGCACCTAGATCTACTGCTTTTATTTAGAGTATACTTTTATCTCACCTCTCCGGCATGTTGGGAAGTGTTCTCCTGTGCCACTGAATCGAGTATGTAATGTATATATCATATGTAAAGAGAGGGTGAGTAAGCCAACCCCATCTTAACTCCTTGGAAAACTCCAGACAAATAATATGTCATCTTATATTTATGAACAATGCAACTACAACAGACAAATGTATGCTACTACCTTAGTCAGATGGAGATCGAACTATTTCTCACCCCTCATCATTGCTAACGTAAACTGTGTGATGAGTCGCTTTATCGATTAATTCGAATGACGTTATATTATTATGTTATTATATTTTTTTTCACCCAACAAGAGACAAAATACAGGGAATGTAATATTTAGGTTGGGGTATATTTAGCGCCCCACCCCCATCCTGCTTTCTTTTCTTTGTCTATTCCAAGCAGGACATTAAAGTTAAAGCTGAGCGGGCACACCTGTCACTTATTCGAGGGCGAACATTACTGGGTCGGCCCTGGCTGAGCGGCATACGGACGGAGTGAATCTTATAACTGCCCCAAGCGGCACGCGGATATCAAACTCATGTTTCTGGTGCCCAACAGCGAAGAGCCTAACTACAGCTGCATCCGCCACAGATTTCTATTGTGACTGCACCCCAGACTCTTGGCACCCGCCGGGAACGGATGATGTAGACATAATATTAGGAGCAGCCCTGTGTTTCATGAAAATGGACGAAGCACGGGTAATACCCTAAAACCTTCTAACCAATACGATCTGTACTTCAACTTTCAGAATGGAGGTCAAGTTCAAATCCAATTATTGTGTCTCAGGTACCAACTTAATAAAAAACAAAAATATAATTTCATTTTTGCCGGTGCACGTGCCTCAACAGGATCATCTGAAGATATCCCTAGTAGACAAGCTGCCAAACTTGAACAAAAAATTTGCCACTGTCGCCCCATCAACACTTTGCTCCATCTCTGGTCCTTCCAACGCTTAAATAAATACACGTAAACGTGTCACTGATGAATAAAATACTCTTTCATGGGATCCGATTTGCATGGTAATAAACAAGAGCAGAAGAAAAGGAGAGGGGGAGGATGGGAGAGAGAGAGAGAGAGAGAGAGAGAGAGAGAGAGAGAGAGAG